TTTCTTTACCAAAGCAGAACACTATTGACATAAAGATCCATTTACCTGATCGAGATATTGGCAATATTCAATGAAAGTCCTTCCATGTTCCAATACCTTGTAATGGATGATACCGTTTATATTCCTCCAGACACAAAGCAAAAATTTCTATGGACTGTGTTCTGGTTTTGGTGCTGGTTTCTTGTCCTATGATAGCCACAGTCTTTTTTGTTTTCTGTTGACATGCAAAACCCATTTTTCATCACATGTAACGATGTGATGCAAAAATGAAAGGTTGGCATTCTTGGTTAAAAGATTGCTGCAGATCATAAAATGTGTTTGGTTCTCAAGTGAAAGATCATGAAGAACCTACATTCCTTTACCAATTAAACTCAGAAATGCACTATAAATGACTTGCTTTTTAATAGAAAAAATGATAAATTAATTCTAAATGCAGTTTCCAACCATTTAAACTTGGTTCTGCTTTAGTTGGCCAATTTATAATTCATATTGATGAAATATGTACTTGAATTTTAAACACTCTGATACAAATTCCAACCATAGACAAAATTTTAAACTCATTCAGTCTTTCTTATCAAATCATGAAATAAAAGTTATCCTAAAAGGTCACTCCTCTAGATACTTTTGTACTAATGCAGGTGTCCCTCATGACTATATTCTTGGTCCTACTTTGTTCTTAATTTTCATTAATGACCTTCCTGATGACATCAGCTTTCAATTTACTCCTGACAGTAAGGTCAAACTGGTGGCTGATCTCAAATATGACCTACAGTATATTGTTAATTAGAACAAAGAATGGCTTATTAATTTTAATGCCTCCAAAACAAAACTCCTTTCTATTAATCAGCTCAGAGACCCCTATCTTCCTTCTATCAGTACAGCTAATGTGAACCTCCAGGAGAGTGACTTGTTACACTTTCTCGGGCTAACATTCTTGGCTGACATGAAGTGGAAAGACTCTATTGAATCCATTGCTAGATCTGCTGCAAAGAAAGTTGTTTCACTGTGCCATGCTAGACAAATCTTTCTCTCCAGAATCTATCTTATATATCTATGTCTACCATTCATCCAGGCTTTGAATATTGCTGCCACATATGGTCCGATGCTCCAGCTATATATTTAGAGGTTCTTGAGAGATTCCAAAGAAGAAATAGCAATATTATTGGCCCTGACCTGGCATCTCAGCTTGAGTTACTTTCCCACTACCATAAAGTTGCTTCCTTGTGCCTTTTCTATAAATACTTTTATGGTAATTGTTTGGACAAGCTCTTCACTATGTTACCTAGACTTTATGAATTTAAGTGTAGTACTAGATTGGCAACAAGGTTTCATCAGTTTACAGTTGAATTGGCTGGATGTAACCATAAGTTCTATGCTAACAGTTTCTTTTCTCACACTTCTCGTTTGTGGAACTCCCTTCCAGCTCCATGCTTTCCAACCAGGTTTGTCAAAAATTGAAATGCCATTATGTCAAGAATTTTTTGCCAGAAAACCAGCACCCTATTATTAAAATTAAAAAAAAATATTCAAAATAATTTCTTTGATTTTGACATTAATTATTGTCTTAGATAGAAAACAATTTTCATTAATTATAATGTAAAATTTAAATGTTAAAAGTCAATGTTTATTTTTGTCAGAAATATTTTACTCTATGATGCCTATTAAATGACAGAAGGGACTCAACTCACCCTCACAAAGAAATATATTTGATTTAAGCCTACTGTAAAAATGAAAGGAATTAGTCAAAAATGTTTCAGTAGCCAATAAAGAACCTTTTTTCCTTAACTAATTTAAGGTTTTCTTCTTCAAGAATTGATGACTCAGACTTAGATGTATTTGATAATATTAGATTGACTAATTTCCTTTATATTTAAAAAAAAATATTCTTATTATGTTTTTGTCAATTTTTATTTACATTTTACTCGTTTAAATAGGAATATAACAAAATGGCATCTTCCTTGGACCCAATACCTGTTAATGTCAATAGCATTCTGAATAAACATGGGATTATACATAGCTGTTCAAATCTATTGTTTTTTGGTTTTAAACACTTAATATCCTTCCTTATCTAGCCATCTTTGTTCAGCTTCAGGTTGAATTTTGGGTTCAGATTTGTCCTTTTCCTAGTCTGTTGGTTGTTTTTGTTTAAGAGCATATCAACACCTCTATGCATTAATTAATACTGAAATCAAAATATTCTGCATGCAATCTTAATTTATTTTTTGAAATAATAATGGTTTAGTGACCCATGTCTTACTAATTAAACTGTATCTGGAAGGAGAACAGGTGGATTCATACCCACTTCCCAAGGGCAGTTGCGTGCAAGTGAATATTATGAACCAAACTTGAATTGGAATTCAGCTCTCTGATTAACATTCCGAGCAATTATCCATTACACCATCTACATATCCAAGCTTACCTGGTATTCCCAAGCAGTCACCCATCTAAGTACTGACTAGACTAGACATTGCTTAACTTTGGTGATCATATGGGAACCAGTTTCAAAGTGATGAGGCCTTAAGCCTCTTCTAGATTGGATGTCAACCATCTAGAGAGTCTAGTCTTTCCTGCTATTTAACCCATAGCTGGGGAGAGAGTCATACCTTTTACCAGGGCATTTGTGCAGGATCAAGTATAACAGTCAAAATTAGAACTCTGCTTGTTAATCCTACTTTTTGATCTGATAACTTGTATGGCCCCAAATTCACAATAGAATATGATTCTTCTTTTTGAACATGTAGACTCCCCTTTGGAGTATAGAGCCACAGCCACATCACTAGGTATTGTGGATATGTAGCCCAATGCACAAGTGAATTTTGATTCAGAATTGTTCTTCCTTAAGAAAAAAAAGCCCAGATTTCTCTGTTAACCCATAGACAGAGGGTGAAGGAATGGATTTATGACTTTCACAAAAGTATTTGGGTGAAAGGGAATGTAATGACTTTGACTGCGATTCAAACTTGGCTCACTAATTTCTTGTTTTGAGAAACTGCGCATTTCATTATTTGCCACTTTATAAAATTAGTTTTAGTTTAATAGAAGTTTTAAATGTATAAAATTTGGGGATTAGGCCACACCATGGATAAATTGCAAAGTACATGGTCTATTGTCCCAATGAAAGAGGCCCTGTACCATACACAGTCATGTAAATTACCTAGTGCCTTAGGACTAATTAAATGCTTGTAGGTGGCATGAAAAAAAATCTGTATAACTGGCTGAGGCACACATAAAAGTCGGAAGATTTTGTCTAAGGGGGTGGAGCCAGCTGTGAGTTTTAAGGACAAAGACGTAGCAGTGAGGAATGTGAGACAGATTACTAGATATATTACTACAAGAAACTAAGAATTTGAGAAAATGCGCATTTCATTATCTGCTTCTACATAAAGCAAATTAGTTTTAGTTTAATAAAAATTTTAAATGCATAAGATTTGGGGATTAGGCCAATCATGGATAAGAGAAATTGATCTGTGGATGGTGATGTGTTAAATAAAAATTTAATCACAAGGGCTTAAATATATCAAAGGCGATTGACAAGGTGTGACATTGCAGGTTGCTACACAAACTTTTCTGCTATGGAATCTCTAGAGGGGTCCTCCAGAGGAGTACAAAAACAAAATTTAGTAAATAAAATTTTAGAAGTACAGAGTTAAACTAAGAGTACATGCAATTCAAGAGCATGTATTCAGGTAGGGACATTTAATTATGTAACCACCATTCCTTAATGAATTTTAACTATTTATTTAGATTTTAACATAAGTTGCATTGTCCCCTAAAAATAAAAAAAAAAGCAAGTTAAAGCTAGACTAAAACTCTGGCAATTTATTTTATTTTTAAACATGAGGGAAAGGAAAAGTTAAGCTCCATCTATCTATCTATCTATCTATCTCTCTCTCTCTCTCTCTCTCTATATATATATATATATATATATATATATATATATGTGTGTGTGTGTGTGTGTGTGTGTGTGTGTATATATATATATGTACTTAGTTGTATTGATATGAGTTTGTGACCCTGGGTTTCATGCCTTTGCAATCATCAGACGACAGTGCAGAGGATTCAGCTAAGTTGTTTTTTAGAGGTCTCTTTGTGCTCATAAATGCGTTTTTCAAACTTCTACTTGTTTCTCCAATATATTGGGAGGAACAGTTTTGTAATTTATTTTATAAATGCCTGCTTCAGAAATATTAGTGCTATTATTGTTTGAAGATCTTAGTATATCTATAATGGTTTTGGAAGTGTTTGTGACTATTTCAAGATTATTTAGATGGGATAGGTTATTCTGGATCGTGGACGTAAGAGACCTCACAAAAAACAACTTAGCTAATGCAATAGTCATACATAGAAATAAATTCAACCATAATTTTGATTTTAAAAATGCTACACTCATAAAAAAAGAAAATAACTCACTCAGAAGGAAAATTCTGGAGAATGCCGCTTACAGAAAATTACCCAAATATTAATCTACGCCCAGGCCTTTTCCGTATTTCACCTTTCTTAACAAAAGTAATGCTCTTACAAACAAATATTCACAACAGATTCATAAAATCAAAAGAAAATGGTTGAATACATCAACACAGATATAATGACAATATTCTCTATATGTGACAATCACTGACGTTATTTTTCAGTTAAAAAATATGAAAATAGCGTTTCTCTACATTCCAGTTGCTAGGTACATTCTGTTTTTGTTTTTATTAGTTACTTTGTTCATTTAATTCCATTTTCGTATTTTGCTTTGATAAAGTCCACATTGGACGAAAAGCATCAGCAATTACCAGTTTTCCTATTGTCATTTTTATTCATAAATATTGTATTCTCTACTGGTTAAATAGGAGAAATTTTCATATATATATATATATATATATATATATATATATATATATATATATATTATGTGGCCTTCCTCTCTCTTAATAAAAGAATTATTGTATAAACACAAATGCCACATGAGTTCTTGATAATGACCGCGAAAAATGAAAGTACTTGAACAAAAATAACAAAATATGAACTTTGGACATTTTATCCACAACACAATAGGCAAGACATCTGAAAATTCGAAAAATGTTAGTTTGGTATAGTTTTGATTTCATCTCTGTTATTTCTGATAATAGGGTTAGATGTTTTTAATTTCTTATAATAGATAATTAATTTGATATTTTTAGTTTGTTCAACAGGACTAATACAATTTTTTATAATGTTCCTTAAAGGAAATTGATCCTGTTTGTAATTTCTGTGTAGCTTATGTTTTTATTATTGCTTTTAATCATTTTATCCAAGCAAAGCAATAATGCCACTAAGATATAAAGGGTTATACATGGTTTCTGTATACAATTGCCCAGGCCTGCACCTACCTCAGTGGGGGGTCATTCCAGTCTCAACACCAAAGGAATAAAAATTGACCAAACAGGACACTACCTTTATCTCTTGAGATAAAAGGATGCATACTACTATTACTACTACCCTCGAACTAATGTACTCATCTTATTTTGTTTTGGCTGTTGTGCTCTTTGGCCTTCATCAGGTGCATGTTAATCTGTGTAACCTTTAGAGAATTTTGAATTGAACCCTTTATATAATCTATGGGGGTAGGTTGTTCTTGTTCCACTAGGGACATTGTATATTGTACTGCTCAGTTATTGCTTGCCCCATTTCCCTGGGTTATTGCTTGCCCCATTTCTGTGTGTCTAAGTACACACTGCACTGCCCAGAGACTGAACACCTAATTGCTATGTCGCCAAATTCATGAACTAACAATTTAAACCACTACGCTCCTTGGCCTTCCTCATGTGCCTGTGAATCTGAGTAACCTGTAACAGCTCCTTTTTGAGAAAAAAAAGGAAGTGGCCAATTCAGAGGTCACTTATCACAGCATTGTTGTAACCAGCATGTAACGAGTCCCTTGATTGGTCAATAGACAAGCCAATGACAGCCCTACTTCATTTCCACTTTGGCTGACAATTTAGAAACTCTTTCTTTTTTGAGTACTGAGCCTGGAGCAGTAAAAATGCACAAAGCTGCTTTCTGACCAACAACAATATGGAAAAATCATAGATGTACCATTTGAATAAATATCTCTAATTATTATATATATATATATATATTTGATATTTCCTGTTATTTTAATTTCCTGTTTCTCTTGTTGTGGTCTGTTATTAGAAGAGACCCATATTGTGTATAATTGTATGGTGTTCAAACAACCTTTAAGTAATTTCAAACCAAACTCTTTAATTTAATCTATGGGGATAGAGTGTTTTCATTTTGCTGTCCATGTCTCGGGATATCTTATGTTGTTCATTTTCTGTACTGCTCACTAACTGCTATTTCCACTGAATCTAAACCACGACAGAAAGCTACAAAGCTCCTATCTTAATTTATGTCATAATGACTTTTTTTCATACTCCTTTGCTTAGCACTTCATCTTTGTTGTTAATATCACATTTCGGCTGTTGTGCTCTCTGGCCTTCTTCAGGTGTCTGTTGATCTAGGTAACAATTTTTAACTGAACCTATTTTTTTTAATCCATGGTTGCAAATTGTTCTCTTCTGTTATCCACGTGTCTTCTAAAATCTGCAGTCCTCCCCAAGGTTCTGACAATTTTTTTTTTTACATATCACTTCTTTTGTGATGTTTGTCATTTTTATTTTTTGTGTACCACTGTTAAAAACTGCTGTCAAGCTTATTTACATTCAGACTAATGTCCTCATCTTTGTTGCAATTATGACAATGTTTCAGCCATTGTGTCATTTAGCCTTCTTCAGGTGTCTATTAATCTGAGTAACTTTCAGGAAATTTTGAACAAAACTCTTTAATTTAATCTTTATTTCAGGAGTAGATAGTTTGCCTACTGCTGTTTATCTTATCTTGTTCTATTTTAGTACTGCTCATACTACCTGGCCCAGGGATTGAATTCACAATTAGTATGTCAACAAATTCACAAACTAACACTTAAATCCACTTGGCTATTTTATTGTGCAGATTTAGACTCAGTAGAAACAAACACTAAATAATCCTAAGACATAGACAGTGGAATAAGAACAATATATCTCCATAGATTAAATAAAGGGTTCAGTTCAAAATTCTCTGAAGGTTACTTGATTTGATAGGCATCTGAAGAAGGCTGGATGGTACATTGGCTGAAATATTGTGTGTATAACAACAAAGATGAAGACAATAGTCTGAACGTAAATAATATCAATAACTTCTTATCTCAGAAATTCAGACAGAAATTAATATTTTCATCTTGGTTATCATTGTAGGTTGAGAACAACCTACAACTGAGGATTGAACAATGGGGAAATTTACATAATGTTTTTCTCAATGAATCAAAAGATGTGACTTTAACTTTAAGATACCGCTTTAAAAACTAATGCTCAGCAAGGTCTGAAAACTGATGCTCAGTAGGGTTTGAAAAGTAAGGCTCAGCAAGGTCTGAAAACTGATGTTCAGTAGGGTTTGAAAAGTAAGGCTCAGTAGGGTTTGAAAACTGTTGCTCAGCAG